TGGAATTGCGTTATTGACCAACAGGATTGCTGATGGTTATAGGCTGGAGTGTTGGCATGGTAGGGGGAAGTTGCAAATACTTTGACACCTTAGAGAAAGCAACCTAAAACAGACACACAGATAAATTTAATAGCAAAATGACCCCTATGACATTATTAGTGAACGCTCTCATCTATGGGAGTCCTTTCAGATTGAGACCTTCAGCCGGTAGAGTTAAGCGCCGCTTGTCCTTAAACAGAGTGCATGTAAATAAGCCCTATTAAGGCTTGGCCTTCGCTTCCCCCAAGAGCCTGAGGGCGACGGGGGCGGGGAGGTTGTACACCGCTTTCCCCCATTGTAACTCTAAAAGTATTTACTCAGTGGCAATCAAGATTGTTTTCCAGAAAGTACCTTTTGTGTCCTTTCTAAAGAGATATGGTAAACTGCTCTGCTGTAAATGCTTCGTGAGAGTATTATGCAAAGAATATCATGTGATAGAATGAGTTAAACAGAATGTGTTGGTTTAGTTAACTTAATTGACTGTTTGGATCATATTCATGGTAAGATGCCTACGTTACTGGAACAGTATGAGTGATTTAGTTTAAAAAAAAAAAAAAATTAGTTCATAAAAAAATGTTCAATATTATTGTTTTCAATCAGCAGAAATAAAAGAAAGCGGGAGCAGATTTAGTGATAACTATTACTAGTTCTACTAGTATATGATATTTTCCGTCCTGTGCTAGAATCCCAGGTAGAATATTACCAGATATTACGCGCATACACCGTTTGACATGTCTGCGACAGCCTGTCTTGTCTGCATTCCGGAGAAAAGATCTTTGTGAAAAATTACTGTCAGAATCATTATTTTCAGTTAAAGAAGCTTTGGTTATTCCTTATTGTAATTTTTTTCTGCTGTTTTAACCGAACCGAGCGATTCGATATTACTCATAGGTTAGCTGTTATCAAACCTCGACCAAAATTCTTTCCTAGCACTATTTGCCAAGAAAACTGACTTAAAATTTTTATATAGAGTTAGGTTACACTAAAA